AAAAAAAAAAAAAAAAGAATATGATGGCAATGACCTATTAGATCAGTTGATTAGAAGTCTGACTTGAAGGAATGGTAAGAATTTGGGTTCTAGTTAGACACTTTGTTACAAGTAAATAATCTGCATAAAATATTTTCTCTTCCTCTTCCTCTGATCATTTTAACTCTAAGAAAGCATTTACTGATATTTAATAAGTACAAAAGATCAATATTTAATCTTTATTTTTATTTTATGGAAGCAATTTTGATTGAACTACCCTAAACCTAACTTAATATTTAAATTAGTAATATTCACTAATGAACTAGCTATTGAAATAAATATATAAACTTTCAAGCTCTTTTTAATTACTTTTTAGACTCAATAGTAATCTTAAGACACTCAACCAAAGCAAAACTTAAGCAGTTTAAATTATAAATGTTAAGTACTTGAAAGTCTTAAACAGATTTAAACAGTATTTCTAAATGTCCTCATGAGCTCATCTTCAATAAAAAACATTTCTTATACCAATATGGGTCTTATGATCTATACTTTTGTGGGAAAAAGAAGAGGTTAACTTCTAACATGTATTAATTTTGTAGACCACTTATTAAACAAGCAGTTAATACTGAGATCATCTCACATTGAATAACGTGTGCTCCAGGCCTACCCATCATCCCAACTGCAACACCATCAAACCCTCAATCCCATTTTAACTAAATCAGCTCCACTTTCACTCACTTAAAATTTCTTACAAAAGGATTTATTTGGGAGGGAAAAAAGCATTCAATGTTTTTTAAGAAAATAGCAAGCAAAAATTGGTTTGACAATTAGGGTTGAAGAAACTATCTTAAAAGATAACTTACCCATACGCTCCCTAAGTGCTTCATTTTCATCAAGGAAATCATTGATCTTCAACTCCAGTTTATTGATTTCCTTTGTCAATACTTCAATCTCTCTATCTCTTACTTTAATTTGGTTTTTATATTTCTTTATTTCAATAACCGCATCTTCTAAACCATATACTCCCTGAAAAATACACATATAAAAAAGATTTATATCACTAAACTGTGTTTTTTAATTGTGCTTTAAAAAAACCCAGTAAGGACAGAAAAGGAACCACTGTAATTTCCCAGTATAGCATCTTACTGTCATTGACTCAAAATGTTACACAAAAAACACTTAACAAAATAGAAAAAAAAATGTGAAAGAGTGAATCATCAATATCATTAGAATATGTCAGTATTGCTTGACTTAGCTGTAATCAAATTTAAAGGTACAAAAAATACAAAGTATGTGTTGGCACAGTAGATGGCAGATGTCCCAGAATAACTTTTATCAAACTAACCAGGAGTGTCACACCTATCTGGTGACACAATGACAAGATAACAAGACTCTTCTGCCATGCCATTATAGCTAATTATCTGGGCAAAAACGCTTAGATCAAATAATTTGCAAACAATTCTCCTGCCAAAAGTAATTATTCAAAGGTTTTAAGGGTTTAACATAATAGAAGAATCATTATCACTGGACACTTATGGAATGATTTTAAATGGTATACAGTAAATGGTCATAACACCCTGTGAGTGGGTAAAATAATTCTAAGCTCTTTGATTGACAAAATAAAAAAATACACACCGATTCATAATCTTTTAAACGCTTTAGAGTCTCCACAAGTTCTTTATCCTTTTCCCTGGCATCAGCCTCAGCTAATTCAGCTGTTCTCTCAGCCTCTTTAGTTTTCTCCTCTAAAATTTGAACCTTAGACTGAATTTTCATGTAATGAGTTTGTTGAGAAAGTGTTGAAGTACCTACAAGGTAAAAATGAAAATCATAAACGAGCTGAATTTATTACTTATTCCTCTAACTCACTGGTTCCAATATGAGGGGACAGGAGAAGTGGTATGTCACTTAAAAAATCCCCTAATATTATAATTTGATATTTATAAATAAATGTTTGATTTTATTAATAAAACAAGTAAAAAAGTAAAATTAAGTAAGATCTTCCCAAATCCAGAGGTATTGTGATAAGACTGCAAAAACTTGCTTTATAAACATTGTTTATTGCAGCAGAAACTACTTATCTGTTCCAAATAGTCAACTTCACTTTGTCCATTGTAATAGAACTAGAATTTTAACTGCATACATGGTCACCTGAAATAAAGTGGATACAGTGGCTAACAATTTGCCATGAAGAATTCTGGAACTTAATATGTGGCTTCTGAAAACTACAATACTGCTGTATGACCAATATGTTTTTCTCTTCCACTCTTTATCAGCAAAAAGGAAGTTAAATACTTACAATTATATCACCATTTTCAAAATGCTGACATGGTAATAAAAGTTTATGTAATTTTTATTAAAGAAAATTCAAAAAACATCATCATTACAAATTCAAATAGTAGCAACACATGTAAAGCAGTTGACAAATATCAAATATAGTTTTAAAAAAATTTAAACAAAGAAAATGTAATACAGTAACTATACAATCTATGAATTTATTTTAGTAAAAGTGAAGTACTTTTAAATTTAATAAAAGAACTACATATTTATATAATATTATAATACCTCTGTTTCTTTGGAGCTCATTTTTCAAATCTTCAATAATGAAAGTATTTTTTTCCATTTCTTTTGTATATTGTTCTACTTGTTCAGAAAGCATCTTAATTTGATTATCTCGTTCTTGTATACCCTAAAAGACATTCTGAATATAACATGTTGTCCTATCATAGATATTAACATGCCTTTTTTTTTCATTACAGAAAAAGGTAGCCTTTTGTTTAGTAAGACTGCAGAACATATTTTTTGGATCAACTTTATGCCTTCCACTATTGTTATCCTTGAATATTCTGCTTTCACTCTAGTACTTAAAGACGGCTAACAATTTGGCAAGTAAGAATTCCACACTCTAATATGTAGCTTCTTATGACTTGCTTTACATTACTTTATTCATCATCCAGTTCCATCATCTTCCCACTTCATGCCTGCTCTTATTCCATGTGTTTATTCCTATAGCATTTCATTCAAAAATTAGTCACTTGCAATTGTTCTTTTTTATCAATATTTCCCAAACTTCCATCTTCCTTTTGGACTATGACTGAGGAGCACAGATGATGAAAGGGTAACTTCTAATGAATACACATGTACTAAAAATAAAATCTTTATGTAGTACAGTCATATTAAAACCATACTTTAAGCTTATTTCATATTGTACAGAATATTCAGCAGTACCATAATGTAAGCTTGCTAATATATATTTAAATTTGTAAGTATTTTTTGAAAGATTTATTTATGCAGCGTTGGGGTGCAGGACAGAGGTGTGGGGTGGTTATGAGAGGATTCACCAGAGACAGAGTAGAGAGCAGAACAAATAGATCAACTGAAGTACACTGCTGAGGGAAGAAACGGGCAAGATAGGAGAGATCTGCTGTGCTGTGTGGGTGACCATCCTAGCTGGGGATCAAACTTGGGCTGCAATGGCTGCCATAGCTCCATAGTACCGTGCTTTAACCCACTGTGCCACCAGGGAGGGCCTTAAATTTCTAAGTTTTAATATTTTTAATTAAATTTCAATTAAAACAATGTATTATCTGTATGACACAGAAAAACAACTTTAATAATTATATCCCTAACTCGAACCTAACTCTAAACTTAATTCTCATTTTTTCTTGGGACCAGATAGTATAAGAAACTGCATATAACTTTATTTATACCCTAATAGTGCAAGTCACTAGATTAAACATAGATGATATGAGAAAATAAAATGTTGTTTAGATTTCACTGCCAATAAAACCAGTTGGTAAATCAAAGTTTGAGATTGTTACCTGTTGTAGAGCCATCACATTACTTTTATCAGCGTCAAGCTGGGCATTTTTTAATTTCTCTCTCAGGTTATACAACATTTGCTGATATTCAATAATTTCATCATCTTTCGAAGATAAAATTAACTAGAAATAAACAAAACAGGGTCTGTGACATAAGCAGAAAATTAATAAACCATCCTTCCTTTAAGGTAACATGCTAATATACACCATTAGCAGATTTGAGGAGATAAACTTCTTTGAAATGAGAAAAATATCAGCATCTTTGGCATAATCATTTTTTGTTTTCGTGTGTACAGCCTAAAGTTCAAATAAAATGTTAAGTCAAAAGTGTACCCTGTAACTTTAACATTGTTTTAGGCATTTCATTGTTAACACAACTCAAGCTCTCAATATCAATTACTAAATAAGAGATTATTTCTATGACCCAGCAATTACAAAGTGTACTATACAGCTATTTGCTAGGAAAACATTAAAATACTAGTGAGGTGCAGAAAATATTTGGAATGAATGATGGGTGTATTTATCATTAGAAAAACCACACATCAAATTCATTCTATACATTATTTTTATATTTAACACAATAAAATAACTAAGATATTTTATGAACTATTTCTAAAATATACATTAAAAAGTGTTTGTAAGGGTCAAAAAACAGAAAACAGTTTTTCAAATATTTAAATATGACAAAATAAGAATACATAGACAGTAGATTAGTCAATATTAAGAGTTGCAAGAAAATTTAAAATCAATGACGTATCTGATAGAATTGAAACTGCACTTATTAGAGAAAAAATTTTCTCTAACAAAAACGAAACTTTTTTGAAGGAACATAAAATAGATGTTAAGCAGAAGCAAATTAAACTGCAGATGAATACATATGCAATCATCTCTCCCTCCTTATTAAAACTATTTCTTCCAGGAGTATGGCTCACAGATCAAATTTGGCCTGTTGCCTATTTTTTGCAAACTTTTATTAGAAAACAGCCTTGCTGATTCACTTGTGTATTATTGCCTATGGCTGCTTTCATGCTATAATAGAACTGAAGTAACAGCAAAGACAAGATGGACTAAAACATTTACTCTCTGGCCTTTTATAGAAACTTTACTGACCTCCAATGGATTCTGTAGACCTCCATGGCTACTGTGTTCACTGTTTAAAATGCAGGTTATCTGAACTTGCTAGATGACAACCAATTCCAAAGAACCAACAAAACTCATATGAGCCTGATCAGAAATGCTGACTATAGAAGTGTTAGCTTTTACAGTTAGAATTACTCAAAAGTCATTTCAGACAATTTTCCAAATGTACAATCATCACAACCTTAGCTTCTGATATGGTAAAGGTAAAGGATTTGACTGGGTCATAGGAGGTGAGGTTGAAGAGACTTTGGAAAAGACTTTTCAGTATTATCTGAAAAGTAATACTGAAAAGTCCCTTTCCTTAATCCTATTCCCACTGAATGTTAATACTTTATTAACCTAACATAAAAAGAGTCAGAAAAACTAGAATTATATGGCACTACCTAAGTAATGTATACAAGCTAACTATAAATTTATTTAGAATTATATATTTTAAATATACTACATTTTGGACTTGGAGTTCTATCAAAAAGTTTAAAGTTTAACTCATTGATATGAGGAACATTTGATAACAAGCTTAAACATTATACAGGCGAGTTTGTTGAACTTTTCTAACACATTTGATACATTTTTGAAAATGTCTAATGAGAATGTCATTAATGAGCATAAACCAGCTAACTTTGTTTTGAAAAAAACTAAGACTAAAAAATTGAATCTACAATACTTATGAAAAGTCATTGTAGTGACTAAAAAAAAGCACCTTCCACTCTTCTACTTTCGCGTTTACAGCTATCATGACAGGATCGTCTTCTTCATTTTTTGCTTTCAGAACATCTGTAAGCTCCTTCACCTAAAAGGACACAATAATTTCAAGTATTGCTAAAATTAGTTTCATATATAGACATTCATGATATATACATGTTTACACATAAACCCACATATGCATATACATACACATACAGACATTTACATTTCTAATATACATTATTATTGGCTGCCTTAACTATGATTCTATTTTTTAAACAAGTTTAATCCATATAAGTAGTGAACAATGTATTGATCATGATACTTAGAATGTTTTTATTTTAAAGTATAAAATGAACTATATGGTTCAGATTTCCAGGAGTCTTCAGTAGAAAATCCTCCAAATTATTATTGGCAGAACTGCTGTCTACACATTCATTCAGGAATCAATTATGTATTATGAGGTGTGTGTAAATGCTAGAGATACACATAGGGTAAAGTATATAAGTATGGCACAGATTACAGAATAAGATCACAGACAAAAGTACTTGAATTTCAAACAGTAATGAGGCAAAATGAAACCTATGGATATGTTAGTATAACATGAGTTCTTACTTGAAGGCGATAATGATCATTCTCTTTTTTTAACTGGTCCATTAGATTATCTGTTTGATGCACAATAGATTTCATTCTGTTATACTCATCAGTCATCTTCTCCATTTCTTGTACTGATTCTTCTAGGTTTTTTCTCATTTCCTGATTCTGAATTTCAATTTTTTCATTAGCTTCTGTTAAAGTCTAAGAAAGTTAAAAGTACTATAGTTAGAAATGACCAAGTACATCAAATTAAATGTCAAGAAAACTATACCTAAGAATCTCAAGTCTTCCTAAACATAGCCCAAGATATAAATATAAAAAATGATTTTATAATTTTGCAACTTCAAAGATGCAATGCATTTAATACTTATAAGTAAACAGCTACAGATTTATATTGAAGAAATAAAATATAGGACTAAATACTGAACTTACGTTATTATGAAATTGAAGTTTTATAGGAATTTTATCATTGTCATTTTACCTGAATTTCATCCAAATATTGGACAAGTTCATAGTTTTTTTTAGATAATTGTGATCGGTATTCACTATCTTCTCCTCTTCTTGATAAAAGTGTTTCTTTTTGTGAGTCTACTTGTTTCTGGTAGTCAATAATATCCTGGCGAAGCTGTTCATTCTGAAGGAAGGCCAAGCATAATAGTCTACTAAGGAGCTATCCAGATATACAAAATTGTATCTTCTAAATAGTGATCTCAAAAAATATCTTTAAATTCCAAGGTTTTTCCACCCTTTTTAAAGTCTCACCTTTTTCTTCAGATGTTTGTTCTCCAGAAAAGGACAGGAAAAGAAATTAGAAATGAGAAAGGTAACATATAATTAAAAATAAGAATTAGAAACTAAAGAAAGCAAAAAGAAAAATTTAAGAGAAAGAACATTTTGGATAACCAAAGAAAACAAGAATATTTATCAACCAAAAAAAGGAAATTTTTATGTTAAAAAAATAAGAAATCCTACCAAAATAAAAATGTACATTGCATTATTTGGCTCAAGAGCCAAATAATAACCAGAACTTATAAGATTTCATGAAAAACAAAAACTGTTGAATGTTTTATAAATTAAGAGAAATAAGACTAATTGTAACTTATTCATTATTAACTATCAAAGAGTTGCTTATAAAACAGAAACCAAAACTTAACCCACATAGATCTATAAGATGAATATAGTATTCAATGACCTCAGCTTTTGACTTTCTACATTGAGACAAAGTCATCCCATAAAATCAGTCAGTCTGAAAATGTTATTTAAAAGATTCTAGTTATAGTACAATAAAAGTTTATGAAAACGTTTAAATAACTACTAAAAATTTTTACCAACCTCTCTCCTTAATTTGCTGTTTTCATTTTCTGCCTCCTCATTTCGAAGAGCCAACTAAAAAGTAGAAAGAAAAAATTTCAGCAGTAATTCAAGATAGAGCCAAATTTTTAGCTAATCCCAGTTTAAATTTTAAACTCTCTCATTAAAAAAAAAAAAAAAGCTTAACTATTAAGGACCTATTGTTGACCCAAACAAGAATAATATCTCAATTTTTGAAAACTATGGACTAGGAAAAACAGAACAGGTTAAATTTAAAAGATTAAAAATAAAACACTAAGAAATAAAACTAACCAAAGGCTACAAAGACAAAACATTTAACAAAAAAAATTACCCCCTTCCACCACTACCATAACCTAAAAATTATTTTCTGTCCAAAGTCTTTATCATTCTATAGTTCTCATAAACCAGGTCTAAATTACTATTTGTCCCCAGTGAGGATTAAAATATTAGAAATTCAAGGCAGTATAACATAATGGTTAAAAGAAGGCAATCTGAAATCCAGATAATCCAGAAAGGCCAGGATTTATATACCTTGCCATCAATTTCTAATCTTGTATGTTGATAGAAGAAATAAATATAATGATGTGTAGTTCTTAGCACAATGCTCAGTGAATGGAATAGCAAAACATTATTATAAAGTATTTTCTTTTCCATATACAAATGATTTCATTAATGTCTCAGTTCATCTACAGTGTGGGAGAAATGTCACCACTTCAGATAATGAGTATCAAATAAGGAATAATGAATTAAGGCATATAAAAAGTATCTGGCATACAAGGATTCCATGCTATTTTTTACCTATATTCCAAATGAAAAACTGCAGTTCTCTAAATTTACCATGCTATGTCTTACCTCTACATCTTAATAAATTCTTATCTTCTATTCAGAATGCTTTTTCCTTAACCATCATGAACATTATACACTCTTTTCCAGGTTAACTCCAGTTTCAATTTATAGGTCACTTCCTAATCAAAAAATTAATTTAGGTATCCCTACCAGAGTATTATGGAGTATTCTTTTATCCTGGCATATTAATCTTAATGATTATTCTTGAGAATCAAGAATATTTCTGCCTACTCTAAGCAAACTCTCTGGTATAATAAAAATAATCAATAAAATTAAATGACTTGCTAAGGGTAAGGAAGAAACTGTCAAAGCAACATATAGCCAGATTCCATCTCATGGAACCTAGCAGTTGGACAGGCACATACACATTATTTTCAAGTTTTCTTTATATGTGCTACTGAATAAAGTCTAGGGTATGAATGATGATCTGAACAAAATAGCTAAGGGTGTATTATGTATGATGAGAAGGAGACTAATAAGAAAGCTAGACCAAAAGACCCACAAAGCTATTTTCCCACAATTCTATTACTGTATAACACAGGTTGGATTCTCAAAAATTAAGAACTCTATTGTTTTATTGTCCTACAGTTTTACTGCTCAAATGAGCATGTAATCCTCTAAAGGCTTATTCTGAATCTGTAAATTGCATTAGTCCTTATTTTTTTCACCTTGAAAATCATACACATTGCTCACTTTTAAAGACCCTTATAAAGTATATAATAGATATGTTAAAAAAAAAGGATTGCTTTTTCTTGCAAATCAATTTATGATGTGTACCCTTTAAATAAAATTATTGTTTACTTGAAATGTACAACCCTTTATTTCTGAGAAAACAATGAACAAATATAAAATTATCAGACTGTAACGTAACAGAGACCTTCTATAGGATGATGAAGAGGTTTCTGGGTATACAGGGAATGAAAGTTACACTTAGGTTCAAAAATTTTTAAAAAAATATTTATTTATTTATGCATACAGAGATGGGGTACAGGCCAGAGGTGTGGTGGGTGAGTATTAACCAGAGACAGAGTGGGGAACAGAACAGATTACTGAAATGCACTGCTGAGGGGAGTAGTGGCGGGTCAGAAGAGGTCTGTCACGCCATGTGGGTCAGCTCCCTGGCTGGGATCGAACTTGTGCTGCAGTGGCTTCTAAGAGCTTCACTGTGTGGAGCTGAAACTTGTTGCACCACCAGGGAGAGCCCAGGTTCAAACTTTGTAGTAAATTTACCAATAGTTGAAGCAAAATTATATATTATTTTCTGACAGGAAATATAAATTTTTCCACAAAAGCAATTGTCTCCTTAAATTAAATTTACCATTAAGTGAATTCTTTTATAAATACTGAGAAACAACTTAAGAGATAATAAAACTTACATAAAAGATGACATATCTGATTTCAAATGTGTACTGATTTATAAAATGCTGGATTAAGACAACTTTTTCAAGAATATATAAAGGCATACCTAAAAACCCAGGAATTTTATTGACTAGTATTAAATAGAACATTCAAAAATTAATTTTCAAGTCTAATATAAGTAAATTAATAAAAAGAAGTATCATTCCCCAAAATAAACTCTGGCAAGAAAGAAAATCACTTATTTATGAATGTCTATTATTTTTTTCATGCCAAATCATCATTTACATGCTTGTGTAAAAAACTCTAATGTCCTGAGAGATTAGGACATATTGCATATGTAAAGAATCTCCTGTTCACCAGAAGTACCATGTCCAATGTATTATAAAGCTGTGATAAAAATACAGTGAAATAAGACCTTAAAGAAAAGTGTGCATCACTTCTTAAATACATCATACAAACATAAAAACTGAGAGTGTTACCAATAATTATAAAAAGAATAATCGGTTTTTTATTTAGATAGTTAAATATTCATTGATTAAATGTGCCTTACTTGTTCATTAACTTTTTTCTCTTTCTCCAACTCCTTTTCCATGTCCTCTAATTCTCTATCTTTTTGTTCTAGTTGCTTTTCAAGTTGGCGGATTTCATCACGTAAAAACCTAGTATCACGTCCACCTGCAGAATGCTGAGCCATCTTAAAATAATAAACCAAAAATATGAATCAACTCCATGATATTTGAGGATTCAAATGAACAACAAATAATTATCCTGATTTTAAATGTTTTGTAGAAAAGCATCAGATGTTTAAAGTAATGCTAGCTTAAAAATAATTTTTAAAAAAAAGTTTACTTATTTAAGCTTATGTTTCCAGACTAAAAACCCTTTAAGTTTATCCTGAGTCATCCAGTTATAAAAACTGGCTGTCAACAACTCAGGCACTGGTATAGCACTGAGCTGCAGGTACCTCACTGTACAGCAAGGGCACAAAACATAGGTGATTCAAAGCTCTGAAAACCGATTTTAAACCATTAGCGCCTCCACCCCAGTTAGTGACCCCTGGTGGTATTAACATGCTCTTTCCCTCATACCATGGGCTCCATCAAAGTATACGACATGACTTTCTAGAATAATGAAAATTTTCTCTGCCTGTCTAGTACAGCACATTACATACACATGGCTATGTACTACTGAGCACCGGAAATCTGAAGGTGCAACTGAAGAGCTAAATTTTTTATTTGAATTTTCACAAAGTCAAACATAAATAGCCACATACTAGATAGCAGAGACTTTAGATTATCTTTGAAAATCTTGCAGTCAATCTAAATACATTTCACTTCATATTCCTGAGTCATGGCCCAAAACATCAAACTCTTTCATCAACCTGGCTCCCACTCATCCCTTTGCCAAGTGCTATTTCTTCTCCACCTTAAATAAATATTTCTCTTTTCCTTCTTCAAAAAGCTTTCTATTTCACTCAAAATTCTTATTCCATTTTTATTCCAAGATAAATTACTATTTTATAGCATTAGGCTTCTTCTTCATTTTTTTTTTTTTACTCAATCTTCCTATCTAACATCTTCCTTAGCTACATTTTGACTCATTTAATATATTAATTCCTTTGGAACTTTCATTTTGATATGTTCATTCTTTTATACCCATGTTCCTTAATGTCAGAAGAGGTGTTGACTTACTCCAACTTGCGATTTCTATACTATGACTCCTGTAATATCCTGCAAAAACTTCAGCTGCTTTGATTCTCACACGAAACCCAGCTATTTAATCTCCACCACCCATGGCAGAAAAGCAAACTAACCAATTTGCCAGTCACTCCCTCTCAAAGTTTGTTGAGAATTTTGGGCAGTATTCCTTTAAGCCCTTCTCCACCATCACCTCCAACTCCCCCCACACTCCCCCCCACAGCCCCCAACACCCCCCCCACGCAATTTCTGCATCTAAATAACTTGAATTTGGAATCACTATTTCATTTGTTTCTTGAAATCACTAAAGTTTTCTACTCCCATGCCCTCACCTGTACTGTCTCCAAGTGGGAGTATCTTCTCAATTCTCTCAGCAAACCTGCCTTACACGTCAAAGGAATCTCTAGCCCCTTAAATCGTCCCTAACTTCTCATTCTGTGCCTCTTGAATTTTTTGCCTATTCTGTCACAACTTCATAGTCATCACCTGAACTACTTTATTTCCAAGACCTCCCACTGCCTCCCTATCTACTCTATAGCTGCTACCTGGCAAAACTAAAACAGAATCAAACAGACTTCATAATTCACTTAATAAATGTGAGTAGGTGCTATTTTCCAAGGATCTAGCTATATAGTAGTGAATAATAAAACCCTCATTCTTTTTAAAAGTTCAAATAGTTAACCAGTAAAAGAATTAGATTTGACTCAAATTGTCTGACGCTAGGTTCCCTTACATCCAGCTCATTTTCTACCGTATTTCAAGTTTTAGAAGATTTCCTTTAAATTTGGCCACACATCTCCCACTGCGATTTTTACCAGATGACCATCTCTTTAACTTCTCAATTTTCAGGAACTAAAGCTATAAACATAAAAGCTTTAATACACATTCATTCTTCCTCTGTTCCTACTACAAAAGAAGAAAAATCTTTCTCTATTTAAATCTTAATGTATTTGTCTATCATGCTACTTCCCAAATTCTCAGGAATTTCAAAGCAGTCAATTCCTCAATAGTACACTTATATTTCGATCTTAGCTTTCTCGGAAGCAAATTCTTCTACTGTTTCCTTTTGTCACTATTCCTCAGATTCTCACATGCCTCCCTGCAACTCAGTTACTAGTAATCCATCTGTATAACTCTAAATTCCTAAGTTTCATGCAGCTTTGAATGCTTATTTTGTTCACAATTGATACTTAATCCTTAGACTTTGAGGTAGACAATCGGCATATAAAGACTGAACAAATAAGAACACAGTGTCATTCTTGTGATTTTTCCAGCCAATAATTGTCAAAAAATTTGAAACAAGAATTCAAAATAAACAATTAATTAACTTTAAGAGAATACATAGGACTTACCTCTAGTTCATTTTCCAGTTTCATTATTTTTGTTTTTAATTGATTTTCTATAAAAATGAATACTTCAATTAGATTTAATTCAAAACTTTCAAATTTAAATAAAATTCTCTTAAATGATTCCATCATGGTTATTTTATATCTGATCCATGAAATTAGAATTCTAGAAATGACTCAAAATAGAGCATACACATTTTTGTTAGTATTGAAATATTTTTACTAAAATATAAAAAAAACTAAAGCTCTTTTTCTATTGATAAAATTGAATAAATTACATACTTAATGTCATAATAAACTAATTCTGAGGCACCTACCAAATTTTGCCTGTTCTTCTCCAGCTTTTTCAACTTCTTCCAAGGCTAGCTCTACTTCTTGAGCTTTCATCTAAACATTTAAAAAATTACTTTAATATGCCTTTGCACTAGAATGTGAACAGAATAAGAGTGTTTTGTGTGCTACCCCAATACTTAGTACCCATACCTGGTGCACAAAGATGGACAGTAAATATTTGTTGTACAAATAATTTTCTTACTTAAAACTGTAATTTTTAGAATCCTAGCCATTTGAAATATCTTTGATTCCTATTTTTTCCCTCAAGTCTTATTTGGAGCATTACATTTTTTCTCTTTATCACTATCTCCCTTTTTCTATTCCGTCATTATTATATCCCACAGTTTCATATCTAAACTCTTCCATAATGCAGTCTATACAGCCTCATCTACTTTGTTTTACTGACACACGGGGTTTTACCTTTCTACTACATACTTTCGTACCAACTATGGCTCAGTCCATCTAAGGGCTCCTCATTACTGATTTAACAAAATATACTCTAAAGTCCCCTGAGACTCTTTTTCAAACTATAGCCAACATTAGTTTAGTCTCCAACTTAATACAAACTTTCTGCACTTGTCTCCTCACATGTAAAGAATAAACACATTTGTAACTCAGCTTTTATTCATGATGGCCTCTAGTTTGAGTCTCCTTAACATTTTACCACTGCCTCCCACTTACCCAAAATTGCTTATCAGCCAGTCCTTGCCCCTTAGAAAGGTTTCTCAGACCTAAATCTCTTTTCCTTCTAACAATTCAGTACAGTTTTCATGTCAATCTCTGGATTATTTTAATCACTAAAACAGAACTCCCCTATGTTTTTTTATACATACCTATTTTGTTTCCTTATATATTCATATTCTTTTAGGAGGATGCGTGCAGACTGAGCTAGCAATATTTTGGAATGAAATTCTCAATCCGCATGTAAAGATATCTCATTTTTTAGTTCAGAGTACTTTCAGAGATCAACTTATTTAAGAACTGATTCTTAAACTTCTAATAGAAAGTTATTAACAAAAAGTTATTGTTAAAACCTACTGCATACAAACCTTCATAAGTGACTGAGTAACTCTGAAAAGGTGTATCACATTTTCTTGACTTTCACTTTTTAGTTGATTTACTTCCACCTAAGTAACAGAAAAGCAACTATGACATATTTTATACTCCTGAAACAAAATATAAGTTTTCCAGATGTATCATTCAGTGATTTCTGCATCAATTTAGATTCTTCATATATATATATGTATATATACATATATTTGCTATCTAAGCACCTTGGATAAGGAAATCAATAAATTATCTGCCAATTCTTCTTGACGAGGCAGGTCATCTGGGTCAACTTTCATGATTTCTTTCCAGTTTATATTAGGTGGCATCTTGAATTCTTTCACTGTGCTTTACCTTCTGTAACAAAACAGGTGGGCGTTAATATTTTCAAAGTAAATAGCACTATTTTTTGCAGTCATTTTCGTATTTTGCACATTATAACACTCTGCGGTGTTTAGTATGGCTCCTTAACTGTAAACAGATAATTGGGTGCAGTAGCCTTGATCAAAATTACAGCAGGTGGCATAAACCATTAAGTATTGTACGAGTTAAATTAAGACGGATTCCTTGTTTAAAATAATTTAAATTAGGGTGCATAAATAACTAATGGTGCCAAGTGCAGGGTGCTTAGACGGCTGAAAACGAACCTTGATAGAAAATACGGAACTAGAGGTAAAAAACAAATGACTGAAATGAGTGCACCTGGGGCAGGAAAACCAGGAATGCACTGAGCAGGCAAATGCAGTGAGGACCACCGGATAAAGGGCGGATGGGCTGGATTGTAGTTTATGGGCCCCGAGGCTTAAAGGATCTGCGTGGTAAGAGATTTCGCGGCTCCCGCTCATCAGGACCAAAGATCCACCCACCTAGACCATACCTGGCGTACAGCGCCACTAACTCGTCTACCGCACCCACCAAGCCGAGCCCCGGACCACGCCTGACCGCTCCCAAGTGCGGTTCCACCCGGACACCGGATCCCGCCAACTCGTCTGGAGCAAGCACTAGCGGCGGTGGCTGCTAGGCGACACCATTCCCTACCCAGCAAGGTCCGCACAAGGCCCCGGATGACGGGGAGACTACATTTCACGACAGGAAGGTCGTGCTTTACGTTTAAATTTCCCAGCTCTGTCCCCGGACTCGTGCCTGAAAGACTTCAAGTCTTTTAGACTTGAGATGAGAACTCCAAATCCCAGAGTGCAATTCTGTTTGGCTACCTGTGCATCCTGGGAACTGAAGTCTCTGGGGAAGTGGAGGTAGGCCGTTCCCGGCGTGCAATGCGTGCGGCTGCGACGGTACCGGGACGGCGAGGGAAAGACCCAGGCGGCGGGAGGCTCACTGGCAGAGACGCGTGTGTGCTGGGGACCTGACCGAGCTGGACCATGACTGTGTTTTCGGTGGCGTCAGTCGCTGGACCGCTGTTCCTGAGGTTTTCTTAAGGCACCCCGGAGGAACCGCCCCCAGGTGAGGGCGGGCTGTCGGTCGGCGGCATGGGAGGAGTTGTGGGCTTCGGTCCCGGCTTCGAGAAGCTACTACCTTTGGGGCGGAAGGGCCCGGCCTGGGTTAGAAGATTTAGGAAAACCCTAAATTTTGTTAGCTTCCCCCCGGGCGGTGCCCGCTTTAAGAAGAAGAAAGTTTGCGTATCAGAATTTGTCCTTGGTGTCAGAGTCTGTCTCCATACTGTGGAGTAGGGGCCGCGCTGAGATTGTGGTCTGGGGAGAGGGAAGAATTGAGAAAACCCCGCCAGTCTTACCTGTCACAGCCTATCTTCATGAATTGAACGTTGTGAAAGCTGAAGAGCTAGCATAGGATGAAGATTCTAGAGAGGAGAAACTTAAAACTCAATCCGGCCCACCGGCGGATGGGGAGGGCGGGGGTCTCAGTGCTCACTGGTCCAGTTGCTGTCACCTGCCTGTTTCCCGAGGGTGAAAGTGCCATCTCAAGTGTGTACAGTTCCTGTTTGTGCAAGATTTGCTTGTCCCGCTGCTCACAGCCATTCTGGAGTATGATGCACCACTGGGTAACTTTTTTAAAAACTCTAAACTTGAAATCTGTAACATTTTTGATCCAAATGACTGCTTGGACCAGTGCCTGTCTTCTGCTTTCCTTTTTTTTCCTGTTTCCATTAAAAAAAAAAAAAAAGTAACTAATGGTAAATTTTCCTTTGAACAAGGGATAAAAGTATTTCTTTTCAAAATATATAGACATGAGATACATGAGATGCATTTTAAGTATTTGTGGGAAAAATAGTTGACCTGATCAAATACTATATGTCAATTCTGTTTAATACTCACCCTCCCCCACGCCGCCATTCTATATATTGCATATACAGGAAATATTTATCTTATATCTTGAATTTGTACTTTTTGACCAGTCTGTTTCTATGAGCTTTTATTTTTGGCTTCCACATATCCACATATAAGTGAGGTCATAATTATTTTTATTTAACTCATTTATTAGTTTTGTGTTGTTTAGATGTGGTCTTTTATCCTTATTTCCCTTCTTTGACACATTTGTGTCCCCAACAATTGAGGGTACTTGACTTAATGGTAAGCCTTTATTTATTAGATATGAAAACATGATTGTAGAAGTTAAGTCATTTCTACTAATCAGTGAAACTAAGGATGTAACCAGAGTTACATCCCAGATATAGTCCTGAGTAAATGTAAAATCGTCCTTAGATTTCATTTTTTTACTCATTCCAATGGTATTTGTGAGCTTGTACACTGTGCTAGACGCTGTGGTATAGCAGGAAAAAGGTCCTAATGCACTGTATAATGTTTTATGTGTAATTGTGAATCATGAAGTTTAATTCAGATTCTGACAGAAACTCATCATTATTTTTTTTTTTTTTTAGTGCTGTGTTTTTCATACAGAACTGGGGTACAGGCCAGAGGCTCAGGGGCGGTGAGAGGCTTCACCAGAGACAGAGTGGGGAGCAGAACAGGCAGATTGACGAAGTACACTGCTGAGGGAAGCAGCGGGCGGGCCAGGAGAGGTCTGGCTCGCCATGTGGTCTCCTCCGGGGCAGGCGGCAGGCGGGAATCGAACTCATGCGGAAGTGGCTTCAGATTCTCAGTGCTGCGCTTTAACCCGCTGCGCCACCAGGGAGGGCCTCATCATTATTTTTTAATCAGATTTTTTGAATCAGTTTTAGCAAGGGAAGAGATTTATGTGACAATTTTATAAATGGTCTAACTATAGCAGTACTTGACTGGACCTGCCTTCTTTTTTCTCTATGGTTTTATAAGCAGTTTTATCTGACCAAAAATCATTTCAATAGAAAGACTTAACTTTTATAATTGCTACCTCTGTTCTTTACACCAAGCAACCTGTATTTCTCAGGTGTTACTTCCACTTCCTTTTTTGCTACCTTATCAAGAAAATGAATGGTAGCTTTTCCCCCAGGATCTAAAATAAAGCATGGCCATAAGAAATTTACTGTACCCTATGTGTCATAAATGTTTAGTTTTGACTTACTCTTGTGGAGAGGAATCTGTGTGCAGCAAGCAGACACTTGTCTTTTCTCAACATGAGGAGACTGGAAAGATTAGGAGGAGTTACTGTAAGTGCAGACTTAGCAAACTATACCGGCCAAAGAAAGTTTTATGAGCTTTAAAATACTGATAAAACATAGTAAGACAAAACATTCATCAGGGCTTCACCTTCAGTCCTTCCCAGAGGTTTTGCCTCCAAATGCCATCACATTGGGGTTAGCATTTAACATAAATTTTTTGGGGAAAAACAAGCATCCAGTCGTAGCATTCCCACAACTGACATTTCATAGTGATATATTACGTTGTTAAAGTAATGCTCCCCCACCCCCCATGCTTCATTTATACTATTTATCATACTGTTTTTTTTTTTTTCAGGTTTTTTTTTATATGTTTTCCAGGTATCCTGACATGTACAAGGAGTTCACTCTCCAGTTAGCTAGCAAGACCCATCCAAAGATTAAGTAGTATGATAAAAGACTGTAATAGAGGTTTAAAAATTCATATCAAGAAAAAATTTTGTCTTAGATTAGGAATTGGGAGAGGTGGTCAACTGATTCTTCTTTTAACTGTATGATGTTTGAGCTGGGTTTTAAAGATTAGTTCTCTGCAATAGTTAACATTCAATCTTTATTTTACTTATTCTTCTATAAAATTGTACTTTTGTTGCTTATTTTATCTTTGTGATATTTCCTCCAGATTTGTCCATCTGCTTGTGAAAAAGATGGCAGATATTAACCTCAAAGAAGTAACCTTCATAGTAGGTGTGGTTACTGCCTGCTATTGGAACAGCCTCTTCTGTGGTTTTGTTTTTGATGATGTTTCAGCAATACTGGATAATAAAGACCTACATCCATCTACACCTCTAAAAACTTTATTTCAGAATGACTTCTGGGGAACCCCTATGTCTGAGGTAAATAATTACTTATTTGTAGATCAGAATTTCAAATACTCTGGAATAGGTTATTCTTTCTTTACTAATGTCATCATAGCAAGTATGAATTTTACCCAAATATATATTATATATATGTATATATATATTTTTAAAAGATTTATATATATATTTTATATATGTATATATATATTTTTAAAAGATTTATTTATGCATACAAAACTGGGGTACAGGCCAGAGGTGCAGGGGCAGTGAGAAGATTCACCAGAGAAAGAGTGGGGAGCAGAACAGGCTGACTGATAAAGTACACTGCTGAGGGGAGCAGCGGGCAGGTCAGGAGAGTCTGCCACAGCTTGTGGGTCATCTCTGGGATGGGGATTGAACTCATGCTGAAGTGCCTGTAGCTTTTTAGTGCTGTGTTTTAACCTGCTGTGCCACCAGCGACGGCCCAAAAATATTTTGATGAGATACATGACATGTTGGTAAGAAATAAGTTGAATATATGATTTATCTTCTTTAAAGCAAATAATAAAGTTTTATGATTATGCTCTAACAACTATGTGCTAGGTACTATTAATTAGACTAATTCATTTATTTATCCTTTCCTTGACCAAATTTTTAAAATATTAGTATATGTGTGTGAAAACCAAATACTAAATATACTTTTTTCTTGTGTGAGTCAGGCAACATAGATGATTACTTATGATTTGTCTAACCATTTAAAATGTGTAACTCTAATATAACTAGATTATACTTTCAAGATAAAATAAGTATACATAGTGTCAATTTTTCTGTAGCAAAAAAGCAGTGTATTAAAAGTTTAAAGTTTATCTTTTACCTACTAGTTATTTTAATTTTATGCTAAGAACTTAAAAGTTTAGTTTATGGCCCTCCCTTGTGGCGCAGCAGGTTAAAGCACTGCACTAAGAAGCTGAAACCATTTCTGCATGAGTTCGATCCCCGCCTACCCCGGAGGAGATCCACATGGCGTGGCAGACCTCTCCTGACCCGCCTGCTGCTCCCCTCAGCAGTGTACTTGTCGATCTGCCTGTTCTGCTCCCCACTCTGTCTCTGGTGAAGTCTTTCGCCAACCCTGAGTCTCTGGCCTGTACCCCAGTTCTGTATGCACAAAAAAATTTTAAAAAAAAAAAAAAAGTTTAGTTTATTTTCATGAAGGATTTTTACTTTGCTAATATCTGTTGTCAAGGTCAGTTTATGCTGTTTAGGATTAAACCCTTGTAAGGTCGGAATCATATAGCTTGGAGCCTAATGTTCTGTTACCTAACAGTTGTGAAACATAGGTAGAAATACAGCTTTTATAGGCAAATCATTATTCCGACCTATAAAAGAACAGTAATATATTGAGGATAAATAAATGAATCAATCTAAGTAGTATCTGGCACATAATTGTTAATATGTTTGTCAATTGTAATTTATGGCATCTTTCTGTATTCTCTAAATTTGGAAACTTCTCGATGATAGGGATGGAATTTTTCATTTCTCTTGTTACAAACACATAGTATGTATGTTTTCTTATTAAATGGTACTCTTTTTCCTACAACCTTCCCGTTCACACCAAACTCATGTAAAAAAAAAAAAAAACTCTTGACGTTAAGAGGAATAGATGGCCCTATTATAGCTTGTATTATTATCTAGATAATTTACTTTTTCTACCATTCACTTTATTCTCAGAGACCCTTAGTATTGTGTCCATTCCCAAAGTTATACTAGTATCTGTTGAGATTTTAATCACGATACTGAGATTTTGACTGAAAATTTTACCAGATGAAAAGCCCTCATAGAATCCATGCTGTGTTTGTGATTTTTTTCAGAGGGACTGTGAACAAACACACTTTAAAAAATTATCATAATTATTTCAGACAACATGAATGAACGAATTACAACAAGTCACAGTGAATAGTGTCACTTGCTTTTATTTTCTGATGGACAAATTTCTCCCCTGTGGGGGTGGAAATGTGTCTTTAAGTAGTATTTGTCACAGCTGCTTGACAAGCTGGAATTGGCACATTTGCAGACCTAAGTAATGATAGCCTAGAAGCCTGTGCGCAGGCTTTCCTAGGGATTTTTGTGCCGTTGCAGATCTTAAAGATCTGCAAATTCTCCTGAGCTGTGTGAGTGCTATCTTAAAGAGGCATCTTTTCATGCCTCTGAGGCTGTCAGTGTTAGTTTATCTTTTCAGTAAAAATGTAACACTTTGTTTATTGATGCTGGTGGATTGCAGCTTTGGCTGCACATTAGGATCTGCCTGGAGCACTTTAAAAAATATTACCAAGATTCTACCAAAATATGTTGTTAAAGTCACTGTTTTTTCTGTCGTGTTTCTTGTTGTTTTGTGGAGTGTTTTTTTAGGGAGAATGGGAGATTTCTTTAAGTTAGCCAAGTGATTATTTCATGCAGCCATCTTTGATAACTTTTCTGCTGTAAAGAGCCATAAACTCTTGGCATTTGATCTAAAATTACCTGTGTTAAGGTAACTTATGCATATAACCACTTACACTAAGTTTTGCCATCACTATTTGAAGATTCACATTGATTGGGAATCTTATGTATTCACTATTTATGCTCATGTTTCTGTTGCCAAGTAACACCCCAAGTACTTTTTTCTTAATATTCTTCCATATAATAATAATCTGAATTGGTTTTGGTCATAATGGAATCAGCTGTTTTTTTTTTTTAAAGCAGAAACCTGATATCTACTGAGCTGCTGATTGTTATAGTAGTGTTTTGAGAATATTCCTAATAAGCTATATGAATAAAAATACTAACAATTTATCTTCTAGATGGTCAATGTCATGGTGTATGTATGTGTACATGGTCAATATCATGGCATATGTATATCATGGTGTATATATATATATATAATTGACCTAACAAAGCAAAAATATAAGTTGACCTAACTTCTTTTAAGCAGGCAGGTTAGTGGACCACAGTAACATTTCAGACATTCACAGGTTTCTTAGGTTCTTTTCCACTTTCTGATTCAAAGCATGTCAGTTCATTATAACACTTAAGAACAATTTTGTATGCCTGAGAAATTTGAAGCATGTTTAGGAATAGGCTAAGCAGGAAAGGACATTCTGGGTAGACAGTACTGATGGTTTGTTGCTGTGTACAGAGATATTAAAATGTTTCTCATTTCAAAATGGGAAATGTTTGCTCCTTGTGTTTCCTAATGTTCTGAAGTAGGTTTGAACAGACTGAAATCTATTCTTGTATACCATAGTTACAGCAAAATGTGGTAAGAGATAGGGAAGAAAAGAAACTGAGTGTTAAAATTACAAAAAATAAATTAGGGTAATGTTTTATGTTTTTTTGGTCTGTGTTCCATTCTTAAATGTGCCTTGATATTTTGCCTGATGGCAAAATATTTCTCAAGAAATATAGCTTCTAGTTTATAAAGACATTCAAAACTCACATAAAATTTAATTTATTGCCAAGAGACTACCATAACAGTTGTCTAATCTAAAATAATTTTGCTCTTGTGTAGTATTTAGGGATTTTGGTTTAATATAATCAGGATTAAACATTATGTAAGTATTTTTCATAAAACGGCTAAAAAGTACCTTTTTGGTTCTCACTATTTAAACTATTGATAAATATTTTGTTCTTACATTTCCTTTGGCCAGTATTTACATAAATACTTGTATTGGCTATAGATCTTATACAGGTCTTTGAGAGAATCCTGTACTCTAGTGCAACTTTTGTTGTTCTCATACCTTTTTTTTAAATCTCTGTATGAAAAGGAATTACTTAAATGTTCTTCCTATATGTTAATTCTTTGCCTCACTATCTAGAGAGGAAAGTGTCTTGTTTTTTTAACTAAGGAAATAAGAAAATACAAATTATAAAGGTATCTTTAATGTTTGTATTGTTCCTGGGACATTTCATTATTTTGCTGTTATTTCTCAACCAAATATAAGGTAAACTTTCAGTAGTAAATGCAATGATTAGATTATTAAACACAAAGTTGTTTAATAATCAATGATTGTTTTCATTCTTTCAGGAAAGAAGCCACAAATCTTACCGTCCCTTAACAGTATTGACATTTCGCTTAAATTATCTCTTTAGTGAACTGAAACCAATGTCATATCATCTTCTAAATACGATTTTTCATGCTATGGTTAGTGTGATATTTCTTAAAGTATGCAGACTTTTCTTGGACAACAGGAGTAGTATGATTGCATCTCTACTTTTTGCAGTACACCCAATACATACAGAAGCGGTAAGTAAAATTAAAATCAGTGGCTTACTTTTTTTTTTTTTAACAAAGCCTACACAGTGATTATAATAGTACCTATTTTTTTTAAAAAAAAATTATCCATGAAGTTAATTTAAGTATTTGAACTCTTAAATTATGATTTCTTATTAATATAGTCTTTTTTTCCTGCATAACATATTTAAATTTAGAGCTAATTTTTGAAACATTCATTCAAGAACATGGGCTAAAATTTCTTAACTTCACTCATGTACAATATAAGTAAATACAGCTTTTTGTTAAATTTTTTAATCAATATAGATTAAATAACTTGTCAACTTGACAATGTTTCAAAGTACAGAAAATAAGTGAATTTAAGTAGGGGATGGAAATATATCAAAGTATATGTAAATTAAGAAATGTTCTAGATGTAGTGTTAACTTTGGATAAAGCTGGGTGTGAAAGGTACAGAGGACGGCTACTATTTTTGTAATTTGCTGTTTTTTATTATTTCAAAATAAGTCAGTAAAAGAACTATTCAAGTCACTGCTAAATTTCTATGAAAGATACAGATTTTCCACAAAAGAGAACTCACAGAATGCCTTAGATAATGCCCTTAAAGTTATGGCAACAAATTTTCTAATTTAATTGCCTTTGCTATCATATATAGTTAAATTTTCAATATTTTCTTCATTAATATGTATTACATTCTCACCTTACTTCCTTTTCTAGGTAACAGGTGTTGTAGGAAGAGCAGAACTTTTGTCATCCATCTTTTTTCTGGCTGCTTTTTTGTCATATACCAAATCTAAAGGACCCAACAATTCTATAAGTAATTGTTTAATATTTGATATTTTTAATATTTTATTACTCTGTATTATAAATGAATTTATCTTTATATGATTTACTACTTAGCATGTATAGAAATAGGAAAGTATGCAATATTAATAATATTAATCTGTGTGTAGTTTATATTATCGTGACTAACAGATTTTATGCGATCTACCTTTTTAAAATTACTCTAGAAGATAGGGGTTTTAGAGTCATTTCCTTAGTTATTTTCTGTTGCCTGTAAATGCTACAAGTACCAGACTTATACTGTCTTTTTTTAACACTTTGTGGGCTGCAAATTGTATTGTTTAGGCAAAAGCAAGCATCTATTAAAGAATACTTTTTATAATACTATCCCCAACAGCTTCAGGGAATTTTGTTTTAATCTATGAAGTGTTTTAAAATTGAAAACAATTTCTGAAATTGTTAAGTTGCTATTTTAAGACCAATGATGAAAGAAATATATAGATTTATAAATTGTGTTTTTGTTTATACCTTTAACTTCATTTATTTGAGTTTTTGCTTTGATTAAAAGTTGTATCACCTATTCATACTGCCCTGTATTTTTCAAAGTGGGAAAGAATTGATGTCATATTTTCCAATAAGAAAACTGAAATTCAAATAAGTCACCCAAAGTCACACAACAAGTTAGCAGTAGATTCTGTGTTACTCACAATTCAATGTTTTTCATGACCAGGAGTTTTCAATTTCAAATTTTAACAATTACAAATAAAGTATAGAAGTATGTGATAATTTCAGATACTTTTGAGTTTATTTCAGATTGATAGTTCCTTCATTATGAATCTCAAAGCTGTTAAGTTTTTCTTTCACAAAGTGGACATCATACATTTATTTTAAAAGTCACTATTTGGTTTATTTTCATTACAGAAACTTTCTAATTCAAATAATATATCTTGAGTTTTACTTTTAAAACAAAAATTACAAATTTAAATACATTGTAAAATAGAAGATATATATAGGTCAAATAATATAGGAAAATAATATAAATCAATACAGAATCACTAGTAAATTTTTTAAGAAAATGCTAATATTGTCTAAGTTAAAATATCCTTTTATGATGTTATAAAATTGTTTTGTATAACTTCATTTTTTTTTGTTTTAAATTGCAGTGTGGACTCCAATTGCTTTGACAGTGATTTTAGTTGCTGTTGCAACACTGTGTAAAGAACAGGGAATCACAGTTGTAGGAATTTGCTGTGTGTATGAAGTATTTATTGCCCAAGGGGTAAGGATAAACAAATTTTCTTGTTGTCTTTATCATAGTTGAATCAGATTATTATCAATACTGGGTCATTGAAAAAGTCATCTCATATTTTTCCTGGTTTTCTTTGCAATAATGAGTCATGACTTTTTTGACAGTCCAAGATTTTCTAAACATACCATTATATAAGTTGATCTGTTTTTCAGTAATGCTACCAAAATGGCAAGAAATGAGTTTGTTTTTTCTATATCTACTGAAAATTTCTCACTTAACACTTTATCATATTTGTAATTTTTAAGGACTGGTTATTTATGCAAACAGAAGTGTGGGGTACAGACCAGAGATAGGGGTGCCATGAGAGGATTTGCCAGAGACAGAGTAGGGGAGCAGAAAGTACTGCACTTCAACAATCCATTGCACCACGAGAGAGAGCCCAGATGTATTGTTTTTAAAATGGACTCTTCGCAGTTTGCAGCATTACACAATAGTTATTGTATAGTGTAATTTATTATTGGATAAGATCGCTGGACTATCATATTATCAGTTCAACAGATTATTCTGTATTAGTTTTTTAGTTATATTCAGTTTGTAGTTGTGTTACTTAGAATGTACTGCTGCATTATTGAAAATGTAGTAGTATATTGTTGTTTTTAAAAATATTTTTTCTTTTTCAGTATACTTTACCATTATTATGTACTACTGCTGGACAGTTTCTCCGTGGAAAGGGTAGTATTCCATTTTCTATGCTACAAACACTAATGAAACTCATTGTTTTGATGTTCAGTACACTATTACTTGTTGTGATTAGAGTCCAGGTTATTCAGTCCCAACTTCCAGTATTTACCAGGTATGAAATTCTGGTTCTTTCTTACTTATCCATCCTATTTTTAAAGTTTTGGGTTTTAAGTGATTATAGATTTTCCAAAAAGTATTTGATTTAACATTGAGGTGTTTTTAACATTAAGGCATTATTAACATTTTAAAGAACGGTGTGTATTTAAATATAGAAATTAATGTTTTGGCTTGCTTGTTAAACTTAACGAAAGCACACTATCAAGATGATGATTCTCTCCAAATAGGCTTAGTGTTAAGTCTTCTGTGTCTTTAATGACTTTGTCTTCTTGTTGTGAGAAGGGTATTGAAATTTTTTACTATAATCATAGATTTATCTATTTTTCCTTCCAGTTCTGATGATTTTTTTCTTCATTTGTTTCAAAACATTATTATTGGGTCTGTAAACATTTAGAATTATAATGTCTTAATAAAATGATCCCTTTATCTTTTTTTTTTTTTTAAGATTTATTTATTTGTGCATACAGAACTGGGGTACAGGCCAGAGGCTCAGGGGCGGTGAGAGGCCTCACCAGAGACAGAGTGGGGGATAGAACAGGCAGAGAGACGAAGTACACTGCTGAGGGGAGCAGCGGGCGGGCCAGGAGAGGTCTGCCACGCCATGTGGTCACCTCCTGGGCAGGCGGCAATCGAACTCATGCGGAAGCGGCTTTAGATGCTCAGTGCTGTGCTTTAACCCGCTGCGCCACCAGGGAGGGCCCCCTTTATCATTTTTTTAAAGATTTATTTATTTATGCATGCAGAACTGTGGTACAGACCAAAGGGGCGGGAGTGGGGAGTTGAGAGGATTCACCAGAGACAGAGTGGGAAGTAGAACAGGCTGACTGACAAAGTACACTGCTGAGGGGAGCAGTGGCAGGCCAGGAGAAGTCTGCTGGGCCTTGTGATTACCTCCAGGGCTGGGCAGGATTGAACTCATGCTGAGATGGCTTTAGATTCTTAGTGCTATGCTTTAACCCCCTGTGCCACCAGGGAGGGCCCCCTTTCATCATTTTTAAGTGAAATTTTTTATCCCTTAGAAATTTACTTTGTCTAATAATAATATGGTCATTCACGTTGTCTTTGTTAGTGTTATGTGGCGTATCTGTTTTCCATCCTTTTACTTTATATCTTTGCTTTTTTTTTTTTTTTTAAGATTTATTTATTTGTGCATACAGAACTGGGGTACAGGCCAAAGGCTCAGGGGCGGTGAGAAGATTCACCAGAGACAGAGTGGTGAACAGAACAGGCAGATCAAAGTACACTGCTGAGGGGAGCAGCGGGCGGGCCAGGAGAGGTCTGCCACACCATGTGGTCACCTCCGGGGCAGGTGGGGATCGAACTCATGCTGAAGTGGCTTTAGATTCTCAGTGCTGTGCTTTAACCCACTGCGCCACCAGGGAGGGCCTATATCTTTGCATTTTAAGTGGATTTCTTGTAGGCTGCATACAGTTGAGTCTCCCTTGTTTAGTAAAATATTTGCCTTTATATGTGATGTTTCTGCTACTTGCACTTAATGTAACTAACTATTGATAAAGTTTGATGTAAATCTGCCATCTTGCTATTCCCATCTGTTCGCTGTTCTCTTTTTTTCTCTTCTGTCATCTGCTGTATTGAGTATTTTTTATTTTTACATTTTAGCTCCATGTTGACTTATTAGCTCTAAATCATTGCTGTTATCTTAGTGATTGCATTTAGATTTTTTATATGATTATAAAGTCACCCCTCTTTACTAGGCAGTTCATAAAGGTTAGACAATTTTAGTTAGCAATAGTCTGAGATATTCATAAAAATATTTTTTTTCTTAATAAGATTATGTATAAATGCTGCTTTTATTATTCATTATTATATATATATGTCAATTTTGTGTCTAAAAAATTGTATTTTTTTTTCTTTCTTTATATAGGTTTGATAATCCAGCTGCTGTAAGCCCAACTCCCACAAGGCAGCTAACTTTTAACTACCTCCTTCCTGTAAATGCTTGGCTTCTCTTAAATCCTTCAGAGCTCTGCTGTGATTGGACCATGGGAACAATACCTCTTATAGAATCTTTTCTGGATATTCGAAATCTTGCCACATTTATTTTCTTTTGCTTATTGGGAGCTTTGGGAATATTCAGTCTCAGATACCCTGGTAATTCCTCTAAGACAGTTTTAATGGTAAGAAATATTCTTTGTTGTACATGCTATTACATTTAATTGATCAAAAGACTGCCTCTAGTTCATCAAATGTGGGTTTTTTTTTTGAAGTAGAATTTTTGTTCAACATCAACCTAGTTTATGATCTCATTAAAGTTTCCTAAATTATATGTAAAGACTACGAATATGTAGGCATGATTTGTACATTCAGAACATAAAATAAAATTACTGATTTTCCTAATTTGGTAGGTACTCTGAAATCACTTATATATGCCAGGAAGTATTTGTAATAATTTGTAAATACACCATTTCTGGACATAGCCACTAAGGTATATAATAAAATAGTTGTATTTGAATGTCCATATATTTTTAGTTAATAAAAGTATCTTTTTCTTTTTGTAGGCACTTTGTTTAATGGCATTACCATTTATTCCTGCATCGAACCTATTTTTTCCAGTTGGATTTGTTGTTGCTGAGCGAGTATTGTATGTTCCTAGCATGGGGTTTTGTATTTTAGTAGCCCATGGATGGCAGAAAATATCAAACAGAAGGTAAATTAAAATGTTAGCTAATTTAATGTTTGCTAGCAACATCTAAGCTCTTAGTTCAGTCTTATAAGTCATACTTTTAAAGTACTTTATTTTTCATCTTGAGCACCTCCTTATATATCTATATTTCAAATTAGGAAAACTTTATAACACATCTCATCCTATGTTCTTTAGCATATTTATATGATTTTATTTTATAGTCTAAAATGCAGCAACTTTAAGTATTAAGACATTTTTAAATAAAACTTATAAGATTTAACCTTTCTAATTATCAATAATATTCAGGTTGTATGTAAAAAATCAGCTTTATAAGTTTTTATCATTAAATCTAAACAAGGCCTTTGAAATAATGACAAATATTAGAATACTTAATGTAATTGAAGACTGAAGTGGAAGTTAGTCCTCTATTTATAATATTTACTTATTTTGATTTTCATTCTGATAAATAGAATTATGAATTCATAAACATTTAGAAATAATTGACATTTGTTTCTCTAAAAGATAAAATACTTTCGGTTATGTGGACAGTGTTCTTTTATTTTCCATTTTTCTCTTAAACAGTATATTAAGAAAGTTATCCTGGGTTTTTCTCTCACTGGTGATATTCACTCATGCCTTAAAAACACTCCACAGAAATTGGGATTGGGAGTCTGAATACACATTGTTTATGTCAGCCTTGAAGGTAAAGTGTGTTAACTCAAAATGACATGAATGTTTTTATTAAATTTTGTTACTCCTTAACTCTCTTTAGCCCATTCAAAAATTGCAATTCATGAAGATTAGCTGTATTGTGTTTGTAACACAGCTAGGAGGTGACACTGTGAATTTAAATTTGTTTTGATTTATATCTAATAGCCATATGTTACCTATTTTAACATCACTTGACATTTAACTGTCACCACAGTTAAATTTCACCACAATATTTTTAAGACTGTTCTTTAATGTAATGTGCACTGCAATCAAATACTTCAAATAGTATTACAGCTTTTATAACTCCCTAAATGTTATATAGTCTTTAGAATCTCTAATGATAAAATATTTAAATAGGAATACTGTATTTCATTGGTACTTAAGGTGACATTTTTTATCTTTTAACATCTCTGAAAAACTATTAAAGCAAAAGGGATCTTGCAATTATTTAATATTTTTTTTCTTTCTTAATAGTACTTAAAATAATGGTGAGCCATAATTGATGGCATCTTAGAGTCAATGAAATAAAATATGTGCATGGACAAAAAAGGCACACTACTTTGGGGGAATACCCATTGATTACAAAACTATAAGAAAGACTGGAACTGCAGAAAAGAGTAATAGCATCTCTATAAAATAGTCTAAGTAGGAATAAGGTCTTTTTTTAAAAAAAAAATCACAAAAAATGTTTTCAAAAAGCTATTAAGATTTTTTTTTCCCCAGGCACTCTGTTGCCAGTGGCCCTCTTTGGAGCTATAAATTTTTAACTTCCTTTTCTCCTTCTAATTTTACATGTGACTTCTTGATTTACTGGTCTTCTTACAATCAGATGATTCTCTCCAGTCTCTCCCCCAAAAGTAAGATTGCATTACTGTTTTTATTAACCTACATTCCTATACCAGTGGAGCCTCATAATTTTCAGGAATTTGTTGGTCCAAATACATCCGCTCTTAAAAGCATGCAAAGAACAGTTATTTTTTAAAAGTGCCATCCTTTGATCAAATAGACATTTTAGTAAAATTCTAATTTATTATATAAATTAAATAAAATCAGACTGCTATGATTTTAGTATGTTGATATGGGAAAGAAGCAGAGAGTACATTTAATGAAGCATTATGTGGTTAGCTGCTTTCTTGTATCCATTTTTATCTCCCCGGGACACTCCATTGCTAATGGTATACCAAACAACATATGTATGCATAAGTATTCTGGTCTATGTATATAAACATTCTGATAGAGAATCTCCATGGTTTTGTGTTACTCCAGTTTTATTGAAATGTAACTGACATAAATTTATATTAGTTTAAGGTATGTAACATAAAGATTTGTTGTATGTATATATTATAAAATGCTATACTTACTATTTAACATGACCTTTATAGTCACAATTTTTTTTCTTGTGATAAGAACTTTTAAGGTCTATTCTGTCAGCAACTTTCAAATATATAACTCAGTATTGTTCACTACAGTGTCGTGGAGTTGTTATATTCTTACAACTTCACACTGGAAAGTTGTATCTTTTAACACTGTCATCCATTCATGGACATCTCCGTGGAGCATTCTTTTCCTAATAGGGTACTAAATGAATATCTGTGCTAGTTGGAGTAGTAATATTTTTAATTGTAACTAATTCTACCTGTCCTTGTATATTAAGGTAAATAAAAATAATGCCAAATTATGGAATAATGTGGGTCATGCTCTGGAAAATGAAAAGAATTTTGAGAGAGCTTTGAAATACTTCTTGCAGGCTACCCATGTTCAGCCAGGTAAGCATCATGAAATAATAGATCTATTTGAATATTTTGCTTTCTTTTCTTTTAAAAGATTTATTTATTTATGCATACAGAACTAGAGTACAGGCAAGTGGTATAGGGGATTCACCAGAGACAGAGTGGGGGCAGAACAGGCAGATCAACGAAGTACACTGCTGAGGGGAGCCGCAGGCAAGACAGGAGAGGTCTGCTGCGCCATGTGGGTCACCTCACATGGCCAGGTTCGAACTCATGCTGAAGTGACTGTAATAGCTTCATAGTGCTGCATTTTAACCCATTGTACAACCTGGGCAGGCCCATGAATACTTTACTTTGTTTTTTAAGATTTTGATTATATTTGGGTAAAATAAGATGGAATTTATTTTCAGGCTTTATTCTGAGTAATTGAATACTATAGTGTTTGATGCCTACTTATTTTGAATTGGATTTGATGTTGGAAGCACTTATATCAGATTTGAGAAATACTTTTTAATCTCTAGATAGCAGCATTCTAGGGTGGCTCTGATGATCAATTTTTGGTGGAATGATAGATGCGAAAGCCTGATAGGAATAAATTTTGGAAGTGGAGAAGAATAATTGGAGACAATTGGTATAAATACTGATGATTCTCATTATGGAATCAAGAGTAGAGGGGATAGGAGCAGACGGGGTTATTTGATTTAAGGTGGGACCTTGGCTGTACATCAAAATTGTCTTTGAAATGGAAACATTTTCAGATCCTATTGTTGAATATTCTGTTTTGATAGAGTTTGGGATATCTGAAAAGCTAAAACTCACATAGGTGTTCTTATTTGCCACCAGGATTGGGGATGACTACCCTAGCCTCAGTATTTATTGTTTTCAATTTTGTTTTGTTTTCCTTGTTTCCCCCTAGATACCCAATGAGATGCATGTATGTACACATTTAAAAACCAAAAAGAGCAGCCCATTTTCCCTTACTTTGCCCCTAATTCTTTAACTAAACTGTATCTGACAATTTTTGTGCCGTATACACAATTACTAGTCCAAACATAATGTAGCAGGATCTTAGGATTGTTACTCACCTCTGAGAGGGTGCCTAAGATAATTATGCTTGACTCATGTGTGCCCTGACACTTGCAAGTAGATAGCTGCTTCACATACTCTTTGTTAAAACATGTCATGACTTTTCTGACAACCCAATAATTTTAAACTACATTTCTTAGTACACATTTCAAAGATTTGGAATAAGATATAAAGATCTTAAAACAGTCAAACATAGTATGAGTGTCTCAACAGACATGACAGCCCAGCGATATACCGATATACCGTGAACCACATCTCCTCCTTACTTTGTATATTTTCTGTTCCTGAATAAAGTTACTAAGGACTGTTAGAGACAAAGTTTCTAATAATATGCTACTAACATAGCCTTTTAAAATATTATCAATAAGTAGGAATTTATGGTGTTTTAAAAGAGATAGGCTGTTATATCCTTGGTAGTATTATAGAATCCCAATATGCAAGTCCTCTCATTCCACACACATTCCAAAAATTTAAAAATATGATATCAAGGTTTTTCATAGTCTCTTTGCTATCATGAGTACATATTTGCTAGTGATAACACCTGAAAAATTCGAGGAATTATGATGATCCTTTTTACCAGTAGGTCATTGTCACTTGTAGAATTGAGCCATACTTTTTGAGTGAGTTCCAAAGCAATTTGACTAAGGATATGAAACATCTGTTAGTATACTATAGCAAAATATAGTGAAGAGAATAATATAAACTTCTTTGCCCCTGTTTTCTCTTACTGTTAATCCCTAAGGTTTGACTCATCCAGTATTTTGTGTCCATATATCTATTTTTTGTCCTTATAGTACTTTATTCAGTAATTGTCTAGTCTTTTAACATTTATAACAAATGTTGGAGAAAGTACCTGTTTTTGCATCTTTTACTTGTTTTATTGCTAAAAACATGTCTTAGTAATTTACATTAAGAACTATTTCATGTATTTGCAAATAAAAGATTGAGTTTTTTTTTTAAATTTTTAGATGATATTGGTGCCCATATGAATGTAGGAAGAACTTATAAAAATTTAAATAGAACCAAAGAAGCTGAAGAATCTTATATGATGGCAAAGTCACTGATGCCCCAGGTATCTACTAGATATTCATATTTAGTAAATCTATCAAAATGGAATCCTTTTCTTCAATCTGTTCATATAAAAATAAGTTGATATAAATGCTCAATGAACTTTCTGTTGGTCTGTTATATAAAATACTACATTTACTTGTCTAGTTCATTTAATTTGAAAAAATTATAGTCTATTTTATAGTTTAAATTCAGTTATGAATTTTAGATAGATAAGTATATTTAAGTGTAAAATATATAAAAATGGTATAAATTTTAAGTGAACTTTATTTTTGTACAGTAGCACTACTTCCAGTATTATTCCTATAAAAAAATAAATGAATTAGAACTAACTGATGAGTGAATGCATTTCTGTGCTATAATGACACAAATACAAGATTTAATGGGTATTGTAACACAACATCAAGTTTACAAAGTCTGATTTTGCTCATTACCAGCTTATGTGCCTTTGGAAAAGGCAGTTTACTATGGGCTGTTATTTTGTTAATGGTAATACATAGGAATGTTAAAATGACTGAATAGTTTCTAATAATTCTTAAAAATTTGGATCATAAGCTGTCTTAAGAATTAATTCACTTTCCATTGAGTTGCAGTTAATGTTATCCACTCACCTTATTTAGGATATCATCAATGAAAAATAATTTTTAAAGTCTGCCTCTAATATCAGATGAAGAAAAATAGTGAGAATATTTTTGAAGCCTGATACCAATGAACTGGTAAAGCAGTAAACCTATAGGTGGTGACTGAACTTGTGCAGATGATGGTGAGACAACTGAGGGACACAGACAAGTCAAAGGAGTTTGAAGGAGTCTTAGACTTTAGAGGTTTTGAGCTAAGTAAACATATAGCAATATTTGAATGAAAATGGCATGAACAGAGCATCAACTCCACCAAGGACAGATAGACATCAAGCAGAGTACAATGTGGATATATAGGAAGGAGGGGAATAAGAATGGAGGTTGGAGATAAAAGAAAAAAATCAAGAAAAGAGATTTTCATGTTTTGATGATCTTGTGTCCCCAAAAATGAAAATGATGAAGAGCTCAATTCTTTGCACCTGTGACTCAGAATACTACCACCAGTGGTTATGAAATGAGACTATGTATGAATATCAATTGTGTCAAGAACATTTATAGCTAAATTAAATGTCTATTAAAGGTTATTTAAAAAAAATTAGATGTTCAGTTGTAAAAATTGTGTTCAGTTGTAAATTTTTACCAGATATAATTTATATTCATTGAAAATTTGTGTCTATATATATTATATGTAATTACCTAAATAATTAGAGAATTTTATTTCCTAACTTCATCAAGTGAGGTTATAATTTAATTCTGAAATATAATTACGCTATTGCACAATTTGGAAACATTTTGCTGACAACATGAGCGTTAATATGATAACAGGTGAAGTACCCTGAAGGAGAGAAAACCCAAGTTCTGTTCCTTGTCTGATGCAAACATACTAAGAAATAAGAGACCCTACCCTCTAAAAGTTCTAATTTACATGACTTCATAAATGATATATAAATAAAAAGCTAAAAATAGTCTCTTGAGCTGGCATGAATGAAAAATATCAAAGTGTTTTTTTAATTTACATTTTGCGAATACTACAGATGCTTTACATTTTTATGGTTTATTTTTGTATAGCTGTAGAACTAGTGGCATAATCTTTGGTATGTTTTAGAGAAGCTGCTGGGATACTTGATTTTTTTATTTGTTACTAAAATAACAAATTATAAAACTACCTTTTCTTCTGAACAGATTATTCCTGGCAAAAAATATGCAGCCAGAATTGCCCCTAACCACCTAAATGTTTATATCAATCTGGCCAACCTTATCCGAACAAATGAATCTCGACTGGAAGAAGCAGATCAGCTCTACCGACAAGCAATAAGCATGAGGCCTGACTTTAAGCAGGCTTACATTAGCAGGTATTATAGTTCAGTTGAAGTTGTCATTATATAAGATTGAGACTGAAGCTGCCAGAACTTTTGCCTATTTTGACTAGTTAGGGAATTTTTTTCTTTTAGCAGTCTTGGTTCTCAAGAGTATCAAAAGGTGTGACCTATTTTAAACTAACAGTCAAGCTTAGTTGATTTGAAATAAATAATGACCTCTAGTAGCAAATTTGAATTTTACATTAAAGAAGACTTCTTAGTTTCATTTGCTTCTTATTTACCAAATTCATTTTAATTTAAAATATTTGAAACATACATTTTCTAATAATTGTAATAGCCAGCTCTGAAGAGGTTTCTTTTGTTTTTTAGTTTCCTTGAGAAATAGTACATATATATTACCATGTAAGTTTAAGGCATACAACATAATGGATTATGAATTTCCACACTTAAGTTAATATCCATTAATTCATAAAGATACATTAAAAAGAAAGAAAAGGAAAAAAATGTTTTGTGATGAAAACTCTTAGGTTTTATTATTGCCTTAACAACTTTCCTATGTATTGTTAATTGTCAACAATATGTATTATTAACATTACAATGTTAACTATAGTTATCCTGTACATTGTATCTTAAGTACCTATTCAATACCTTATAACTTGTAGTTTTTACCTTTTAACCACCTCTCTACATTCTCCTCTCATTTATAGTAACCACAAATCTGATTTCTTTTTCTAAGTTTAGTTGGTTGTTTTCAATTTTGTGTCTTAGATTCAATTTTTGTATCTTATAAGTGAAATCGTAACAGTATTTGACTTTCTCTGTCTGACTTATTTTACTTAGTGTGATGCTTTTAAGATCCATCCCTTGTTTTTGCAAATGGTAGACTTTCCTTGTTTTTCATTTTTATGACTGAATAATAATCCATTCAATCATTGATGTACTGATAGGTGGATTTCAGAATTCAGCTATTATAAATAATATGCATGAATATGAACGTGCAGGTATATCTGAGTTAATGTTTCATTTCTTTTGGCTATATTCTTAGAAGGAATTTCTAGATTATATGTTCTATGTTTACTTTTTTGAGGATTCTCCATTTTGTTTACCCTAGTGGCTGTACCAACTTTAATACCCCACCAATAATGCACCACACATGAAGCTTTTTGATAATGACCATTCTAACAGGTGTTAGGTGACATCTCATTGTTTCATTAGTATTTACCTAATGATTGGTGACATTGAGCATCTATTCATGTACTCATTGACCTTCCATGTATCTTTGGAAAATGTCCGTTCATGTGTTCTGTTTCTTAATTGGGTTAATTTGTTTTCCTTTTTACCACATCATCTGGATTCTTTATGTATTTTGGAAATTAACACATCAGAATGTGGTTTGCAAATATTTTTTTTCTCATTCTGTAGATAATCTTCATTTTATCGATGGTTTCTTTTGCTAGCCAGAGCTTTTAGATTAATGTAGACCCACTTGCTTATTTTTTATTTTTTTGTTATGTTTCAATTGCCACAGCCAATAAATTATTACCAAGCCTAATCCTATGTTTAACGAGCCTAATCCTATGTTTTCTTCTAGGAGTTTCAAAATTTCAGGTTTTACATTTTAGTCTTTAATCCATTCTTAGTTAATTTTTGTGAGTGGTAAAAGAACAGAGGTCTAGTTTCATTTATATGTAAATATCTTCTTATCCCAGTGCCATTTATTGAAAAGATTTTTTGATCATTTGAGTTTTTTTGGCTCCCTTGTCAAATATAAATTGATCAGATATGCTTGAATTTATTTCTTAGAGCTCAGTTCTGTTCCATTAACTTATTTGTCTGCTTTTAGGCCAGTATCATACTATTTTGATGACTATTACTTTATAGTATAACTTGAAGTCAGGAAGTTTAATACTGCCTATTTTGTTCTTTTTCAGAATTTCTTTTGAGGTTTCACATACATTTTAGGAATGTTTTTTCACTTACATATAGAAAATGCCATTGGAATCTTGATAGGAAATGCATTGATTTTATAGATAAAAATCAATTTTTTTGATAGTGTTCACATTTTTTTTTTAAGATTTATTTATTCATATAGAACTGGGGTACAGGCCAGAGATGGGGAGGGTGAGAGGATTCACCAGAGACAGTGGGGAGCAGAAAAGGCAGATCGACGAAGTACACTGCTGAGGGGAGCAGCGAGTGGGTCAGGAGAGGTCTCCTGCGCCTTGTGGATCACCTCCCGGCAGGCGGGGATCAAACTCATGTGGAAGTGGCTGAAGCTTCTTAGTGCTGTGCTTTAACCCACTGCACCAGGGAGGGCCCTAGTGTTCACATTTTAACAATAATAATTTTTCCACTCCATTAACATAAAATAGCGTTCCATTTATTTATGTCTTGTTTATTTCTTTCATCAGCGTCTTAGAGTTTTAAGTGTAGATAAATATCTCCTGCTTGGTTAAATTTATTCCGAAGTATTTTATTGTTTTAGATACTACTATAAATTGAACCATCTTCTATCTCAGAAATATTAGTGTTAATGTATAGAACTACTACTATTATTTGTATTGTAAATTTGTGTAGTGAAATTTCACTGAATTGATTAGATCTAACAGGCTTTTTTGTAATTTTTTATATATAAAAATAGTATTATTTACAAGTAGTGACAGTTTTACTCTCTTTCTGATTCTGATACCTCTGTTTCTTTCTCTTACCTTATTGCTTCAACTAAGACTTTCAATGCTGTTTTAAATAGGTATGATAAAGTGTACACCTTTGTCTTGTTACTAATCTTTGAAGGGAAGTTTTCAACTTCTCATCAATAAGTATAATATTAGCTGTGGACTTGTTATATATACTTTTTTTATGTTCCTTCTGCAGGTAATTTTAAAGAATTTTTACCATTAATGCATTTGAATTTTGTCATATATTTCATATGTCTATTGACATGGCCATATGATATTAATTTAATATCCTTCCTAGTAATTGTGGATTATACAGATTTTCTACTTTCTTGTATCCATTATGCAGATAATTTGTGCTTGGTTAGTATAGTTCTAAGGGTTTGTCAATTTTGTTTATCTTTTCAAAGAACCAACTTTTAGTTTGCTAGTTAGTACTTTTCTATTATTTTTCTTTTCCCTTTTTCATTAATTTCTGTTCTGATTTTCTTATTTCTACTTTTCTGCTAACTTCAGACTCAGTTTGTTCTTATTCTACCTCTTTACAGCTTAATGTAGAGCTGGTTTGTTAACTTAAAAACTTTCTTTTCTCTCTCTCTGTATATACACAAACACATATATGTAGAAAAGTATATATAAAAAGTTTCTTTTCCTTCTAGAAAGTTTTATATAGATACACACACACACACACACGTGCAGGTGCGCACGGACATATTCAGAAGTAACTAGTTATTGATGTGTTTACCACAAAGAAACTTTTTAGTTGTCAGTTAAAGATAGGTTTGTCATGACATGTTAGAAACTGACATGTTTTCCATTGCAAGAGCATTTGTCTTATATCTGAAGAAAACTATATATTAAATTTTGTTCTGCTACTTGGCCCAAAAAACTAATTTTAATTCACATTGTTTCTATGGAGGAAATGCAAAATTTAATTTCTTGAGGTAACATCTGATTAAAAGTTGGACAGCTGTATTCATCTTTATGCAGTGTTTATTGAAATCAGATTAGTGGGTTGTTTTATAATGAATTAGTAGCTTTTTTTCTTTAATGAGAATATCTGTAGTTCATTTGATTCCTATGTTGATATTTTAGACAACAATAGCATCACAATAAAAACAACTTTAACATAAATACTTAGGTTGCTTTTATATATGTTTTAGCAAAATGTTCTTGATTAAGTCTTTAACAGAATATAGAACCATATTAAAATTTTTCCAAAATGATTTTCAAACTGTGATCCTCAGTTCTAGTTGTAATCCCCTAAAGTATCTGCAGGTGGCAGTGGTACTCTCTCATGCTACATGAACAACTTTTTCTTTCATTTTTTTTTTTTAATGAATAAGCATTGTTATCAGAATACATTGGAGAAAACTAACTGTGAAATGGGCCAAAAATTTTTCATTTTCTCTGATTTTTGTATATTCATATTTGTAACATTTTGAATTGTGAAATTTCTCCATACCCTGTATTTCTTTCTTTATTCTTCCCTTCATATAAATGCTATTACTTTGTCTCTTCACAGTTTTTATCTTTCACACTGGTAGCTTCCATTTTCTGATGTAATGTAATCTAGCTTTATGTAAGATATTTTTAAGAATATATTTTGATTTTCTTCCTTTTTTGGATATCTCTCCACAGCTTAACCTTTTCAGGCTTGCTTGTTCATTCGTCAATAACATTTGATAGCATATCAAGCCAAATTGCTAAGTTAATAAGTTCAGTTTTTATGTTTCACAGTTATTTTTGAAGCAAAACTTTCAAGAATCTAAGAAAAAAGGGAAAAAGCTATAAATATGTGAAAATCTTAAAACTTGCAGGAACCTACAGGGTAATAATGTAAGTAAAGCTTGTGTTATTTTTCCACAGAGGAGAATTACTTTTAAAAATGAATAAACCTCTCAAAGCAAAAGAAGCATATCTTAAAGCACTTGAGCTGGACAGAAATAATGCAGATCTTTGGTACAACTTGGCAATTGTTCATATTGAACTTAAAGAACCAAATGAAGCCCTGAAAAATTTCAATCATGCTTTAGAACTAAATCCAAAGCATAAACTAGCATTATTCAATTCTGCTATATTAATGCAAGAATCAGGTATGTTTTCTCACAATCTCTCTGCACTTAAACACATTATAGGTTGAAATCTAATAAAACCTTAAATTATATTATCTGTAGCAAATATTTTATAAGTGGATCATTTATGTCAGGATGATTTATAACAGTATTTTAAATAATTGAAGCAAACTTTTCAAGTAATATGCAATAAGATTTCTGACAACACTAACTGTTCTTCTGGTATATGTTAATGCTGACTTCTCAGGCTGTCTTTCTACCAAGTGATGCTAATCTGTTTTGGGTTTTAGGCTTTGAAATATAATCACATATGTAAATATTATATTACCCAAGTTATCTGAACTTGCAAAATTTTTTGCATAATTGCTTTTGGTATCTTTTTATATCCAGTTTTACTGTTTTATGAGCTGTCATATTTCCCTACTTTTCTGTAATTTAGCAAAATTAAATTATTATATCAGGATCTGTATTACCTAGGAATTTAAATACCAATTAATATTGGCAATCTACATGGTGTATAATCTTCATTTTTATATTTGAAAATGTATTTACATGTTTTAGGTAACAGTTACTTGTTAAAAACTTTTTTCAAAAATGATAGAATTATAAAATCTTACTATTTTAGAATGAAAGAGGATCTTTGAGTTTACTATGTTAATTCTTTACTTAACAAGTTAGAGAGTAAGGACCAAGTTTAATATCTACCCTAACTTCATACGGCTAGGGTAAGATGAGATTTATTTTCCAATTTTTATTGCTCCCAGTTAGATTCTAAATTATAAGGAGATAATTATCTCCTTTTGGTTTTTGAGGCATTATCACTACTTAAAGGAAAGGAAACCAGTTTTCATTTCAATGCTTTTAACATTTTTAGAAGACTTAAGAGTTTTTTGATTCCTGCTTTTTGACTTGGGTAAACCAATTGCTTGTTTTGCTGTGTTCCTTTGTAATTTCACTAGATAAGTACTTGAAAGTTGCTTTTTTTCTTAGACTTAATTCGCTTGCTAACTGTAATTTTTTTTTCCAAAGGTGAGGTTAAACTTAGACCTGAAGCTAGAAGACGACTTCTAAGCTATATAAATGAAGAACCACAAGATGCAAATGGTTATTTTAATCTGGGGATGCTTGCCATGGATGACAGAAAGGATGCTGAAGCAGAGATGTGGATGAAGAAAGCCATAAAATTACAAGCTGATTTCAGAAGTGCTTTGTTTAACCTGGCTCTTCTGTATTCTCAAACTGCAAAGGAATTAATGGCATTGCCAATTTTGGAAGAATTACTCAGATATTATCCTGATCATATTAAGGGTCTCATATTAAAGGGAGACATTCTGATGAATCAAAAGAAGGATATACTTGGAGCAAAAAAGTGTTTTGAAAAAATTTTAGAGATGGATCCAAGTAATGTTCAAGGAAAACACAATCTTTGTGTTGTTTATTTTGAAGAAAAGGACTTACTAAAAGCTGAAAGATGCCTGGTTGAAACTTTGGCATTAGCACCACATGAAGAATATATTCAGCGTCATTTGAATATAGTCAGAGATAAAATTTCCTCATCTAGTTTTGTAGGACATCCAGTGTTCCCAGCTGCTAAGATTTCAGGTGTAGAAGAAGAAAAAATTCCAATTGAAAATGTAAAAGAAATCAGAAGTGAAGCCAAGCCCACACAGATAATAAAAACAAATGACAATAATAAAAGTCAGTCTAAATCCAAACAATTAGAAAAAAATACAGACAAAGAGACCCCCCACAAAACAACAAAAGAAATCAAAGAAATTGAGAAGAAAAGAGTTGCTGCTTTGAAAAGATTAGAAGAGATTGAACGTATTTTAAATGGTGAATAGCATTGCTCTTCATCATGTAACAGTGGTTTTCAAAGAACTTCGATCTATATCATGTGGTTGCTTGTAATGGAAGCTTTGAAAAATTGTAAGGATACACAACAGTCCATCATGAGCTACACTATACAGATTCAAAATAAGATTTTCATTGAAGACTTGTCTAGTCCCAGGATTTGTATTAAATTAAATATGGCAGTAATTTTCTGAGTTTTGGTGAATTTAGCAAAACTTTTGCGTTGTAGGTGGCAAATTTTTATCTTTTATTATAGAAGAATGTTTTTCCAGCAAAATAATCTTTACTGCTCAATTAAAAATAAACTGAGGCCTGAATGACAATTTCTTGGGGGGCAGAACAAACATGTATTAGTTTTATCTTATGAATTATCAGCTGTTTATTAGCTGATTTCATTTTTCCTTACCTATTAGAATCAGGATGTAGATTGAAAAATCCTAAGTGAGCACATTCATTTTTCTTCAGTAACCTGTTTTAACCACGGGACTGTGTACTACAAAAGAATACTGGCTTCCTTTGTGTTGTATTCTTCTGTTGATTCTTGGGATTTAGAAGAAACATTTTAAAAATAGGTCATGACATTTTAGCTTAAGAATGTATTTTCATGATTGTGTTTTGTCCTTAAATCTCTAAAATGCAGTTTTTTAATCAGGTACATGTTTAAATTTGGAAATGTGCATACACAGACATTTCTAATGGTGCTCATGTAACTGTATTTTCATTTTTTTACATTAATTTCACAACATGAATTGCACAATCATGGCTATCTGACTTTTATTCATGTTTCTTAGGATCATCATATTGAGAAGTCCCATTAGCGATAACTGCATTAAAACTTTTAAGTTTTTCATCCTAGTGTTACCTTTTTAGTGTTATTTGAACTTTACTTATATCTTCCAACATCATATCTTGTTCTTTGTGTACCTTGTATGACTAAATTAAGCTCTGGTTAACTAAAGGTGAAACATGTAACAAAGTTTATTTTTAAACACTAAGTTCTTGATATTTTATTGTGTATGTTTTTATTAAATATTTATTTTGACTACTGAGGTTCCATAAAATTATAAAGCTGTTTGAAGTCTTATCAAATATGAAAATAAATTGCTGTTGCATTTTCCTAAATGTACACACATTATGGTTAAAACAAAATTTCATCATTTTTTGGCCTGCTGTCCACCTATGAGATATACCAGATAGTTGATATAACAGGTTTAAAAAACTGATCAGTTGACTTTTGCTGATTTAAATCTGAAAACTGGTTGGAAACTAGATATAAATCAGATTTATTCATTCAAATCTGTTTTTTTTTTTGATTGAAATATGTTTCAAAGCAATTTTTTGTACATCAAAAAGTTGGTTGTAATTTAAAATGTTAAAGCTCAAGTTATCCTGGGGTAGTAACTGATTTCTAATGATGTAGCAAAACTGTATTACTATCCCTTTGAGATAACTAATTTCTAATTATGTGTGTTTCAAAAACCATTTTCCTGAAAGAAAGTTTTAAAAAATGTTTTATAAATAGGTCACAAGAAACAATATCTGCATTAAAGACCCACTCTCACTTGTTTCCTTGAGGACCTGTCATAGATTACTTTTTAGGCAATTTAATGCATGCACTGATACCAATGAGAGTTCATTTTTGATCTAGGAGTCTTGTCATTCTGTTAAATGTTAAAGCAATACTTAATTTTAATCAAATTATGATTTCTTAGCTCCCGATAAAAAGTGGAGAATACCTCAAATACTCTGACTTGAAAAATGAAATCTATGTTATTTTTATTTTTCTCTCCACATCTTGAATAAATGTACCTGAGTGATTTCTATTATAGATCAAGTAAAAAGGCTAGTTCATAAAAGAATGGAAATCTTTCACAGTAGCACACCATTTTATTATTACTAATAAAAAATCTTAGTAATGTTTTAGTAAAGTTATATATAACTGTTCAAGGCTTAAAAGATATATTAATGTTATCCTATGATTTTTGCAGAAAAAATTCCTTCTATGCACTTAGAATTTAGTGCTCATATATTTGAATTTTAAATAATTAATTTAAATTAAAGGCACCATAACTAATTTTTTCAAATCAGTGTTTCCCAAGCCTTACATCATTATGGAATCATTGGATGACCCATAATAATAGACTCTATCCTACAATTTGTCCATGCCTAAGTTTTCCCAAAAGCTCTTGAAGTGTTTCTAAATTGTAGACTGGATGAAGCCCCATTACTCTAAATTAGTTTAAGAAAATATTATCTCTCAAATATTAACTTTTAAAATTAGTAACAGAGCCAATTAAGTTTTGATATTGTGAGTTCTTTGAACAACTATTATTTATCCCATCAAAGCTTGCTTGTATTATGGCTAATTATTTCGTCTTAAAACTGGTCAAGCTGATAGGATGAGAATGGATAATGGTTTCTTTTTTTTTTTTTCCTTTAGAACTGCCTTTTTGGGGGAAATGGAGGATGGGGACATTTAAGCACTATTCACTAACCTACAGGTCAGAGTTGTCAGCATCTATCTGTAAGTTTGGAAGAGGAAGCTGATCTTAGTTTGTGTGTTGGTAAAGGGGTGTAGTTTTAGTTCTCTTAAGAAAAGAATTACTAACCTAGAGTTCTAAAAAAGCTTTGACAATCCCCAAGGGGCAATTACATGCTCCTCTACTTCTCAGTATGAAGAATTTTTTTTCTCATTGCTCCTATATATATTTTCTTATTAGCATTCAGAATTGCAAATTTTATAATTATTCCAGTAAGTAATTTTCTGAAGTTCAGATGACTTGGAAGATAAAACAAATATGTCTGCAATTTTGACCTGCAATTTTTGTTTACTTTTATGTAAATATTTAGTATGAGAGCTAAATAATTCTAATAAACTTCTTAATCTTTTCATTACATATAATTTGACCCATGAATTTCATGTTATAAAATGTCTCTTTAAGATGCTTAAATGGAAAATATGAAAATATATAGATTTGTATGTCAATTTGTACTTCAGAAATCCATATATTTGTCATTTATTTTTTTAAGAACTTCCTAATTAACAGCATGACTAAATTGTATTGAAATGAACCCCCCCCAATCTTTGTCCAAAATTTTATCTGTTTCAAATTGTCAGCCATCCATTTTGAGGGTTCATTAAAAAATAGTTATAAAATGTATGCATTTTATATTTCTATGGTGTGTGTAGCATATTTCTAAATATTCAACATTAAATTGATACTTTTTAAAACCTTAACTTGAATTGCCTTTTACTGTTTAAAATGAAAAATACAAAATGTATAAAGATATTTGCCACACAGAGAAAGAACTGATAGTTTTGTTAGCAGTGATCTGAGAAAGATGTCAGTGATTTTTTTTTATCCTGAATGACAAGCTAACTTACAAAAATGAGACAGTTAAATTCAGATGTGGAATTCTATACATATACACTATTGGAAGTCTATATAATAGAATATTTGGTTGTTTGAAAAGTCATGATGTATTTTTTCTATGTTTTATATGCAAAATGTTCCTGACTTTTATGGAAACATTATGAGTGATGTATGTCTGGGTTCAAATTCTGGTACCACCTTTACTATTGTAATATAGAAATTATTCAACCTCCAAGTCCCATTTCTACACTAATGTTGAAAATAATTTCCTCACAAAGTTATGAAGAGATTTTCTATATTATATAATTTACTAAAATATGTAATATTTTAAATTGCCTAGGACCATTCTTGAAATATAGTAATAAATGTTAGTTAATGTAATTGTAAGGCTTAGGTTTCCATTTGATGCATATGATTTTGTGGTGTTATGTATTAGATAGTGATGGTAATGACAACAAGTTATTAGCAATCTAATGATGTTTGGTTCTAAGTCAACTAGTGCATAGATAGCCTAAAATATTAAGTATTTTACATTTACATGTATTTTAAAAGTTAAATTATTAAATTGCACAAATGAAAACTCAAATGTCATAATCTATCTGTAACTCAAACTAAGACACCTTAAGATTGTACAGCCTTGCTCTTTTGCTATTCACTACCATTAGGGAGGCAGCAAAAGATAGTATCAGTGATTAAATGTCAGAACATTTTATCTCAGGCAAATTAATGTTTTTTCACACCCATTTCCTTTAACAATAACACTGCATACCAATGGATGGCACATTTCGCATCCATTAGCATTCATAATCTATAAGAATCGGTATGTTTATGTTTTGTGTAAAATACCCCTCAATAAACCATTCTAGTTTACTTTTTTCTTAAAAGACTTTCACAGTAGTCTTTACTGCCTCCTCCCCCCATGCCTTTCGTTTCTTGTATTAGGAAAGTAGTCAGATTAAATCAATTCATGCCAAAGTATGGGTAATAGGTGGATCTTGTCAGCCCACTCAATAGCTGTTCAAATGAGCCTCTGGCTTTGTAAAATTGCAGTCTGTGTAGAGGGACCAGTTTATGTAGACTGCCTATCTTAGCAAAGAATGAGTGGCCACAAAAAGTCTTTGTAACTGCTGCTAAAGTCCTCATCAGACCAGTATTTATGTCTGTGTTATTTTGTTGTACATTTTTATTAGGAAAAAGAATAAGTAAAAGAGGCCCCTTCATAGTCATCGGTGGGCAGGAGAGCTACCCAGAGTCCTGTTTTGATGAACTCTGGAAGGCCAGAGTTTCCTCTCCCTTTGGAAGAGGAATCAGAATCAGTGTGACTGGACTGTTAGCATCAATCCACCCAATCCAATAATGATAATTATAAAGATTAATTTCTGGATTGTCAATGAATTTTTTAAATACCCAGTCACTGTATTACACTATTTCCTTCAGTGAGCCTACAATGTGATTTTTAGACTTCCTTTACTCTGCCTACTTCTTAACTACAATTTCATATTTTTATATGCTTCCAAAATGCAGCCCCACATTTTCTCTGTGTTCAGAACTATGAACCCAGTAGTCTACTGAGGGAAGAGTCCTTGCTGGAAGATCTTAACTACTTCTAAGCAATATCTTCCCTAGGGGTATATTTCCGTTGTGGGGATGTAAAGTGAAAATTTAACTTTGCAGAACAGAGAGCACCTACTGGGAGAAAGATAAACCTGTAGTTTTATGTAATTACTTAAGAATGATGTAATGTATTGAAACTTACAAGAGAACAAATCCAAGGCTGGGTCTTCAGGTTCTGAATTCTGCATTGATATAGAATTGTTGGATGTTGTTGGGAAGAAAAAGTAAACTCTGACGATTTGACCTTGCTTTTTTGATGAGTTAGATGCTTTGAGAGATGAGGCCTACAACAAATCTAATCTATTTCTCATCCTCCAAAGACCAGATTTGCTTAATTTTGAACTGGATATTCAAAGATACAGAAAACTAACTAATTAGCAAAAGAATAAAAGTAAAAGTGAAATACAGATTATCCAAATACTGGAGTTAGCAGACAAGGACCTGAGTTAGCTATATTACCATTAAATATAAAAAGAAAAAATAAAACATGAGAGAATACACAAAACTTCAACAGAAATTTGAAGTCTAAAAAATTAAAATTCTAAAACTAAAAAATTTACTAGAACTAGGAACATAGATATGATAAGGCTTAACATATCAGCTAAAGTATGGAGACTAATATTGGAAAGAGGAGAAATATGTAAAAGATACAAAAGACATAATCAAATGACGTGGCATGCATTTTACTGTGTTTCAAAAGAAGAGAGAATAGGCCAAAAAAAAGGGTTAATAGCCAAGAATTTTCCAAAATAGAAAGACCATTCTACTGATGGATATATTCCAATAGGGTGAATGCAAAAATATAAGTATCTCATTGTTAAATCCAATTTAAGGTCTCCCTGATCACCTAGGGGTTAAGTCTCAGCATGATCACTGCTACAGCCTGAGTTTGATCCCCAGCAAAGGAGCTGACTCACTTGGGTAAAACAGACCTCTCCTATCACACCCACTGCTCTCCTCAGCAGTGTATTTTAGTAGATCCTCCTGTCCCCATTGTCTCTGGTGTATCCTCTCACTGCCCCCCCTCCACATACCTCCTGGCTACACTCTATTTCT